CTACCTCCTCGTGTCTCGTCTCCTACACTACTATATATATATATATATATATATATATATATATATGTATGTTATCAAACACATAACCTAGAACTTTCTTAACATTCCGGCAGGTTATCAAACACAGTACCCAGAATTTATTTAAATCTTTCAGAACAAAACATTCAACTGTCCAAAAGATTTAAAAAAATTCAACTTTTCAAAATATGTCTTTGAGAAAAACAAACGTGCCCTTAAAAAAAATTTAGAGATCTCAAGGTTCGGCGAAAGATGACAAAGTTTTCGGGTGTGGTTTTGAGAGATTAAAATAGCACCATAGTGCTCCAATAACAGCAAGGTGTCGGATTCAAAGAGTTATTTTTCATACCTTAGAACCCTGTAAACTTCCTTAAAATAGTAGACTTTGCTTGCCTTCTATTTGTGGATAGAGCCCATTAGGGAGAACCACATATGTCCACATGTTTGATTTGCTTTTTTTTTTACTTGTCATCAAACGAGACAGTGACCATAAGTAAGTTTATAAGTAGTTTGTTGAATGAAGAATAAGAAGAAAAGCCACTGACTCGTCCAATTTACAATTTGCTGTGATAGAAAGTCGAGGAAAGTCGAAATAGTCAATCTAAATCAAAGAGTAGAGTCAATCTAAATCACAGAGTAGATTGAAGTCCAGGAAGGAGATCACGTGTTATTGTTGTAGCAAGAATGGACACTTCAGAAGAGAGCGTTCAAAATATAGGAGTGTCCAAAATACAAGAAAGAATGAAGGGAAAGTAAAGCCGAGGATAATGGCTGGGAGACCAAACAGTGACCATCGAGGTTGATTTTGGTATTGTAGACAACTGTCGTGATCATTGCTTTAGTGCTGCATCTGCCCCATATAGTTTTAATTGGGTTCTAAACACATGAGCCTTCTTACAGGTCGGGAGATTTCAGCTTTAGAAAGATGGGGAATAGTGGTTCGTCTCAGGTTCTTTGAATATGGTATGTATGTTTCCAGACTACGGCCGCGATGAAGCTAATGGTAAAGGATAACTACAGCCCCAATGAAGCTAATGGTAAAAGATGCCTTACATTAGAAGGATGCTTGAATGAAGTAGGTTACCGTCCAGTATTTTAGTAAAGGGCATTGGGAGCTTACTGGTGGGGTAAACAAGATAGGCAACAACTTAGGGAGAGAAGACAACGAAGAGAGAATGGGGAAAGAGAAAATTGGGGGGAATCAAGCCTCACCTTAATGCTACAGAAAACTGCTATATTTCACAAATCGAATAACATCATACAGGCCCGAAATGGGCATGTCCCACCCTTATATGCTTATTATGTTTCCAAACTTGCTATGTTTCCAAAATTCCATTACCCATTAATGGCTACCCAATTCCCTTGACAAAAGGTCACAAGTTCCTAAGTATATTCCAACTCCCAACTCCCAATCCTAGGAATTACCGACTCTCTCTTGTTCCCTTCAAGAATTGTTGGAACTTGTATTAAAAGCCTTTGGGAACTAGCAGTTGCACTCATGGATCTCATTTTGGTCTAAATCATCCCCCAGGTTCAGGAAACTAGCCCTCGAGTTTGTATTTGAAACACCATAATACTTTGTCTGATCTTACATATTAAGTGTAGGGCGAATGCAGATTTTCAGCAAGAGCTCAATCTTGTAGGAATTATCGTCGATCTGCTTGACTATGCAATATG